TCTTATAAAAGAAAAAAAAAAAAAAAAAAAAAAAAAAAGAGGGGGTGGGGGGAAGAAAACCCGCAATGTTCTGCAGGACAACTGAGAATTTACTTCCAATACGCAACAACTTTATACAGACATTTAATCACCAAATGCTGAGCAGAGTTCAAAAGTAAAATTTAACAATCTTTTAAAAAATACTTCAGTCTGTAAAGTCGCACATTTGTCACCAGCAGTGGGAAGCTTACCTGCTTGGCTGTTTTCAGACTGAGCTATAAGTGCTGCCATGGCTGAATTTGGATTCAGCCTATTGCCATACATGTGGGATGGAGGCAGACTGAGAGAAGATCCAGGTAGGGTGCTTGCCTGCAAGAAACCAGTTAAAACTTGAATCCTTTTTTTTTTTTTTTAAAGGGGGAGAAATGCTAAATATATTTTAAAGAAGCCTTCCTAATGCACAATTATTAATTTTAAGTTGAATGTTTTTTAAAAACTGGATGTATTTAAAAGAAAAAAATATTATTTTCCATTTGCGAGTACAGAAACAAAATTGCAGTACTTTGAAAATATATCAGGTTTTGAAGTGTGTTTTACTTGTCGTTGGCAAGATCTGTTAATAAAAAAACCCTTCTAATAAAAAAATTACTGCAGCAAATATTAAAAATACCTAAATTGCATTTTAAAGCAACCACCATATAGCAGGATGGGTAGACTTCCTTGCAATCCTGAAGTATGCACTCAATGCTAGGACTTAGTAGCATAGCGACCATGTGGTTATCCTACTAATTATTTAATCTTATTAAACCATTTACAAAATAAGGGCAGGTAGACAACAGATGTCTCACAAATGCTTGGGTTCCTTACATCACAAGCCGGCTGTGGAGGTCAAAAGGTCCAACTTTCAGCTCTATAGTTTAACTACACAGAGCCATATTTCCTTTGCTCGACTCGGTCATTAGTAAAACCTGCACACTATTTTGTTACTTCCTATTTTGATAGACTTGGAGGCCTGGTGTTTTTTTGTTTTGTTTTGTTTTTATTTTAAAGAACGCAAACAGCCATTACAAGTATGTTTTCTATACAATAGGGGGCTCGCCGAATCACAGCTTTGCCCTGACCCCATATAAGGAACTGTATTTTTGGCAGCTGGCCAGCTCTACTTATTGAAGAGCTCCCAAAGTTTGTGTTCATTCATGTTGCTAACCACAATTCTGAAGGTCTCTGCTGGGACTTGTGCCAAACAAGCGAAAATGAACCCTTAAACAGATGAAGCTAAGGAGGCTGGCCAAAATCTTGCATAATCCAACGCAATAAAAATACCTTCTTCCTTGGCTGCTTATGCTTTTTCCCTTTCGAAGAAAAGATTTGTGTCAAATGCCAAGTTGCACAGACAGGCAATCAAAGGAAAAAAGGCATGGCTGCTTATTAAAAAGGCATTATCCTACCTGATAAAAAAATTATTTCAGAACAAAGAAAATAGGGGGGGGGCAGACACAGACAGAGAAAAAAAATCAAAGATACACAAACTGTGTCATCACTAGTTTTAAAATTAATCTTTTAAAAAATGTAAACAACCTTTACAAATGGAACTTTTTTTGAAAAACAAAAAAAGAAGCTGAACAGTAAGGAACTCAATTTGTGGGACATTTTGACATGTATAACTGCACACAAGAGATGGGGGAAACACAGTGGTTATTACAGCAAAATATTACAGAGTATAAACTATGTCTCTGGAAAGAATCACACACTACCATTAAGTTCTGGCTTTCAGCCAACATATTAAACTTGATGAATGGACTTTTATGAATTCACACAACTGTTTTCAATGATGCTTTATTTACTATGTACTGGCGAGAAATTGTGCCTGATACTTACATTCTTCTACTGTCACAAAGTTAAAAAAAGCCACAAATAATTACTTACAATGATCAGGGTTTTTTGGTTTTGGTTTTGTTTTTTTTTTTACTTTTCAGTTTAAAGGTATGTGCAAGATTGCTAGACACAAAACCACAGTTTCACTCCAAATCCGGCTGGTTTTGTTTTTTGTTTGGTTTGGTTTTTTTTTTTAGAGGATTGCATGTCTTTAGTGGAATTAATCTGAATTAGTTGTAAGTCTTAAAAATAATGCAGGCATTTCCACCTACCCAGGTATAACAGCTTCCAGAAATACCGTACATATTAGTAGTGTGACACTGATGAAGGCAGCAACACTGCACAGCTCCAGCTATTTTCCTTAATAAATGCCTATAGCGTGATTCCAACTCAGCTATTATTGTTCACTAGCAACCTTCAGCTGTTTTCCTCTCAAAACCAAAACAAACTACTTCAAAAACAATGTAGGTTTTTTTAATCAAATTATTTCACTGAAGAAACTTTACAGATTACAGGATTCAACCATTATTTCCTTCCATATCTAAGAGACAAGACTAGCAAAATAAAACTCTATATATACTTTATTTAAATAAATTGGGTGAGGTTATGAATTCTACTAATATAGTTTGTGGGGGTTTTTTTTAACTACAAACAACCAGGTCTTATTTCTGTTTAGTTTTAAGTATTTTCCTATAAAAGATTTCTCATAATTCTAGTAAGCATACTGCTCACACTTTACACAGAAACTGCTACACTTACTCTCACTCTGCGTAACTCATTGCAAGGCTGCTTAAAACTGTGCAACAGCAACTATATATTACTTCATGATGGCAGGGCAGCTATAATCAGCAAGGAGAATACATGTTTATTTGACTAAAACATGCCCAAATAGCTTTAAGAACTTTCTAAAAGTATCTAAGTATCTTGAAAGGAGTCGCTAAAGTCTGTTGAGTAACTATCACATCACAAAACAAAAGACATCAAAGGAATTAAACAATGTTTGCTAAGTGGGTTGATATAACAGATCAAAAGACTTAGCATGATTTAAACAATATCCAAGAACTTGAGTTTTTTCACAAGTGGTGGTTCACCCTAAGCTTAACCCCTGTTTATACTTTAAAACAATAGTAAAGGTATCCTACAACAAGTTGGAAGTACAAAAGTTCTAGAGCCATCATGTACCCTATGCAACTCTCAAAAGGAAAAAGTCACATTAGTAAAATTATTCAAGTAAGCTGGAGGTAAATAAAAAAACTTGTAAAATACTTTTTTAAAATGGCAATGTAAAATGACAAGAATAACGATTTGTGAAGCTTTATTATGTATGTGACGACTTCATCTGACAAGAAAGTAGAGGAGGTGGAGGAGTGCTACATTATTTAAAGGTGAAATAGGAGCTTCATGTTTCACTCAGAGTCGAAACAAGCTGTAGCAAGCATTTATTAAAAATGCGCAATCATCCTGTCAATACATATTAAGGTCACAGGACTGAAACATGTTCTAAAATGCAGAACTTTTAAAGCTGTAGTATTCTTTACTTCAACTGATTCTATTTAAACAGTCAACACAATACACGATCAAAATGTATGAACTAATAAAATAAAGAGACTGCTAAGTATTTATTTTGAAAAGGCAGCAAATTTTCCTGAAAAGATTTTAGCAGAAAGATTTAAGCCCATCTAGAGGTATATAATACACTGCTTCCATTTATGGCATGTTCAATAAATCAGTAAAGCAATAAGCAGCAGAGCAACACAGAAGGAAGATACACTGTAATTCACGGAATGCCCGAGTGCAATAAGAATAAATGATTGATATTTGATTGATGCTTAAAAACACTTTCTCTACAGCAAGAAAGAAAGTGCAAGTATATTCTTGTAATTAAAGAACTAGATTTGCAAGTTAAGTAAATTTAACTTGTATATGTAAATATCCTCTGAAATATTTAAAATAGTTTTGTATTTGTTTGCATCACTCCAAAATGGTATTTTACTGTAACAGTATGACTATAAAGTTTCCCGAGTTGACAACAATTTGCATTCACAACCAGACATTTACTTAAATTTCCAGGGAAAACCATTTCTTCATTTCAAAAGTTACATGTTCTTTAAGCAAAAATCCAAAGGGGAGAAAAATGAGACAATACTTAGCTGTATACAATTAGATTAGATCTCAAAAATTTGAGAACCTCTGAGCATGCCTATTCCCCTGTGCCTTTCAAGTTTTATGCTATGAAATATTTTCTGATAACAGGCCTCATTTCTGTCTCAGCTCCACACCAGTAAGGTTTTAATACTCAGCGTGTGATGAGAGATGAAACCAAGTGTGAACAACTTTCGGGTCCCATGAGTAGGCTGACTGTTGAAGCTGTCAGGTTCAATTGCATCATTCCACATTAGTCAATGCCCCAAACTGCTCCCTAATTGTTAGGGGCTTAACATATTCAAAACTATTGTTTAGGCTAATGCTGAAATGCCTACAGTTGAGTTTCCATAAAGAAAGGGGAGGGATTTAATTGTAGTTAAGGCATTGCTGAACTCTTCTCCTTTCATGATAGGACAACAAGGATGGCCGGAACAACCAATTCCAAGACAGCTTCTTAATCAGTATATATCCAATCAACATCCCTTTCCCCCTCTGCTTTAAAAGATATTCATTACTATATTGTAGCTTTGCATTATATTATGATGATGCTTTACAGTTAGCGACAGATCATCTAATTACCTACTTCAGCCAATATCTATTTGAGAACAATAATTTCAAAGGTTATTTTTATTTCTTGTTTAAAATAAAAGCGTATCATTGCTGTCTATATCCCTTGAAGTATGACTACCAGATTAATGTGGTTGGGGTCATACCATTTACCAATCATACTAGGTTCTTCATCACAGCATGATGCTGTGACAGAAAGTGCAAAACTACCCCTTGTTCCTCTTAACACAAAGTAAAGAAATCAAGAGCACTAGGTATCACCAACAACTACTTACGGCCAACTACTATTAGAAACTGTATAAAAAAAATTTGATGTAGATGAAGTTTAAAGCTAAATTTTCTGCAAGCTGTTCTGCTACACTTCTGATGTGGGGTTACTAATGTTTTCCATCCAATTGTCTAGCTTCATGAAATATGGAAGGAAATTCAAGCACTAGACCAAATATTAACATCAGCTCACTTCATCTAGAACTCATCTTAAACTGATGGGTTTTGGTCAATGGCAAGCAACATTTATATGAACAATGTACTATCGGAAAGAACAGCAAAATTAAAACCTGCATTGCAATTAAATGAGCTTAGCTATTCAAGAATTTTAATGCTATGTACATAATGGTAGTAAAAAAAATTATAATATACATATATAAAAATCTCTTTTCTTGAGAAGTGAAAAGAGCTGCCTATCAGGTGATAGCAGCAAAAGCAACCTGGCCTTATGTTTCCTAGCTTAACTTGGACAAGTGAAGAAAAGTTACTTTTATCCCTAGAATTTTTAAGGCCAG